GCTAATTCCCATTGGGATAGTTATAGTCCCGACTAAGTGGGATATTTGTAGTCTATATAGACTACAAATATCCCACTTTGCGAATGATTACGACTATGAGATCTAATTCAACTACCTCATTCAAACATACATTCAATAGTAGAAGTAATTAATAGCTGACTTGTTCGGGTTGCTTTGATACAAATGATGATTTAACTTTATTTGCTTGTTTATAGCGGCAAGGAAACTACTTTTAATTGGAGGCCTTTATTTGTTGTACAGACGGAAAGGAGTGAAATAGGTTTTAGGCGGTGTTTTGTGGAGGTTCGTTCATTTTCTTTGTTTGTTTCATGATTGTCGCTATTACCATGTCGATTTTTCGATTTCCCCAATTCCTAAACAAAAGGTAAATAAAGAAACTTTTTTATGGTACCTGCTATTTTTAAATTACGCTAAAAGTCTTGGCTATTTTAATTGCTAAATTTAGAATGGTAGAAAGTAGAATTTCCTTATCCGACGGATAGTAAAAGTAAAGTCACCTGACATTTTGGGTACAGTAACTATTTTGGTTCATCAAAAACAAACCATCTATAATCTTTGTTTGCATAGCCACCATTATAACATGGGCTTACAACATGCTTTGTATACGGTTTGACTTGACCATGGGCAACGATAAATATATCCATTGTGCGCATACTATTTCGGCTTTGCTCTTCTCTTTTTATCAATTTCAGTCAACATGAGTAGCTCCATAGAAAACGAAGAGCGAGCTACGTTGCTCGACCGTAATAACGAATACCCTTCAGAGGTAAAATAAAATTGCATCCATTTCATGTACCTTTAAGCATGCATTTACCTATCTCCTTATGAAGTAGTCCCTTAAATATATAAAAAAATTTTTTTTTTACTTTTTTAATTACGCCTTCCCTTTATTTTCTAACAAGTTTAAATAACTGTTTTTTGGTTGTTTTTTTGCGAATAGAATAGAATATTACAACAAACAGTAGTCAAAATCTGTGCGAGCATAGCCGCACTTATCGCTTTCGTATGTCTAATATCAGCCCTTGTCCGCGGTCGAGACGTATCGCAACAACCTCTTCCTTACTTTAATGGAACTCATGGTTTCAATAAAACACTCATCATCGTATCCCTGGATGGATTTAGGAATGATTACTTGAAGAGAGGTCTCACACCTAACATTCAGAAGTTAGGTTGGTTGAAACAATTAGTTGTATATTGTACTCGGAGAGAGTAAATTATTAATAGGTCAAAAGTTAGGAGTACAGGGTGATGATGAATAATTTGTTAACATAATATATTTTCACAGCTGAAAGAGGCGTAGGAGCCAAGTATATGGTACCGTCTTTCCCGGTAAGTAATCGATTGTTGTATGTTAGCTTATTGTATATCACACGTATCCCCTTTTATCTGACTTTTTTTTTTCCAAAAAGTCGGTTACTTTCCCAAACCACTATACACTCGTCACCGGCCTCTATCCCGAATCGCACGGAATAGTCGGTAACGACTTTTACGACCCTCTTCACGATCGTGATTTCTACTACACGGACCCAAAACGTTCGTTCGACTCGTTTTGGTGGGGCGGCGAACCGATCTGGGTCACTGCCGAATTACAAGGACGAAAATCGGCCGTTCTTATGTGGGTTGGCTCATCAGCTGAAATTAAACATACCCGACCGACGTACCAAATCTCGTTCAATGCTTCGTGGACGGTGGGAGATAAAGCAGACCAAGTTTTGAAATGGGTGGATGAAGAAGACGACAGAGCTAGCTTGATTGCTGTCTATACGAATCAGGTCGATTATTATGGACATCGGTTTGGCCCCGTGTCGAAGCAAGTTGACGACGCATTGATCCAAGTGGATGGAATGATTGGAGACATGATTAGTGGATTGGAGGAAAGGAATCTGACCGAGATTGTTGATTTTATTGTTGTAAGTGTGTTTAACGTGGAATCGGTTTGGTATCGGTTTGGGGGAGGGGGGGTCTGTTTGAACTATTCTCTCTAACTGGGGGAACTCGAGGTTTATAGTGTTACTCCAATATCCTAACTCGCTCTCACTTTTAACAAAGGTCTCTGATCACGGTATGGCAACGATAAACGCTTCATCTTACATATTACTCGACCAACTTCTTAAAGAATCGATACCCAATTTCGAAGACCTCATCTTTCCTCTCGAAGGTTTCCCGCTGGCTGGCATTCGTCCAAATAAACCCGACGCGGAAGTCGACATTCTCACTAACCTTCAAAAAGTTTCCCACGACCAACCGTTCGATTGCTACAACAAAGTCGACGTTCCGTCTCGATTTCATTATTCTAAATCCGACCGTATTGCCCCGATAGTATGTATACCCGAAGTTGGTTATGTACTCACCAGTACCAAATTCTGGAATAATATCGTGAGCAACGGTACCCACGGATTTGATAATTTGGCAGAAGAGATGCGAGCGATATTTATGGCTCAGGGCCCGACGTTCGAGCAGTACAAGCAAAGAACGGGACAAGGAAATGTTATGGACGAATTTCGAAATGTTGAAGTGTACAATATTATGGCAAAGATTTTGGATTTGACACCGGCTCCGAATAACGGAACTGTCGGGAGTATCATTTGAGCACTATTGTTGACTAAGAAATAAAACTTGGAGTATTTATTACGAGTATTGTTAGTGTAGCAGTACGCGATAGACAGTAGAATGTGTTCTTTGATATAAAAACGACTAAATATACACAAAAAGAATAAAATGATTTATGGTTAAATTATTATACGCGTTCACTTGCGCAAAATGAATATAATGATTAATAAAGAAACTATGTACCGTGAGATTGAGTGTTGGTTGACAGCATGTTCGTCTAAGAAGCTGACAATGATTGATCAGTATTCTGAATACGAAAATTTCTTTTCTCTTTTTCTATTCCCGTCCTGAGACCAAAGGCTTCCTCTTTCCCGAACGTGCATAGTAATCTGACTCACGCAATGCCGTTCGTATAGTGTTTATGTCTCTCGTACAGTCAATTAAATACTGTATGCGCACAACATATCCAAGAACTTGACAGTGATTAGACAAAGCTTACGTAGAAAACCAATTAAGTTTACGCATTATTCTATAATTCCGACTGACATACAATCTCTAAAATGCCTGACTTAATATAAATAGAACCTGTAATGAAAGAATTTGCATAAAGCTTAAAGTTTGCTAACAGATCCAGTATGTACAGTAACATTCGAATATTCGCTGCTTTATGAATAAGAAAATACACTCCGTTGACCTGGGTACTAGTCTTTGAAGTCCAATTGATAAGTTGATTAAGTATTAATCCGTTTGTGTAAGTTAAACTTAAGGGTACACTTATTTTTATGATATGACTAGGAAACGGGAGTCAATAATCATTGGTCGAGATTATGTGCCGGACAATAAAATAATCAGACACTTTTATATACTAACCAAGTTGTGTTAGTTATTTAGTATACTATCGCACACGACGTTTGTGACGCAGCCAACGTCACCCAAGATGTGTATGAAGAATGCGCAGAACCTCAAGTCAAACAGCAATAACAACAATGACATCAATTGCCTCTTACAAGGAATGGTTAGAAAAGAGTCTTGAGAGCGAATACATTAGATTCTATCCTTATGACGATTTAATCGATAAAGACTGCATAGGCCATGGTGGATTTGGCGTAGTTTTCAAAGCAAAAGTAGCGTCATCGGACATAACAGTTGCTTACAAAATGATCAAATATTCAGGCGAAGATGAGCTCTTCAAATGCTTTGTAAATGAAGTTTGTAATGATGCGTGACGGAACTGCTGCTAGATCCATGGAACTTGGTTTTTATATATTGTTCGTTTCGTCATGACTATATTCTAGCTCAAGATTCATCGTAGAGTAGATGACCATCCCAACATAATTTGATTCCTTGGCATTAGCAAAGGTAAAGGCGGTGAGAAAATTTAATGTGTTATGGATAGACATAAGCGTAATATCTTTCGATTTTTTAATAGACATCAAAGGAAGATACTTGATGGTCTTTGATTATGCCGACAACGGTTCATTGCGGGAATACCTATCGACGCCGACTATCAAACTAGATTGGCCTGCCAACTGTCAACTGGGTTTGGATATCGTTAACGGTTTAAGATATATTCACAAAGCAGGAATCTTGCATAAAGATTTAGTAAGTGTATTACTTGTTGATACGACTTTGATTTTAGGGTAGATTGTAATTGATATTAATATATTGGTTTTTTATGTTATCACAAGTCTTCGAACAATGTATTGATTCACGGGAAAAGAGCTAAGATCACTGATTGCGGGGTATCTGAAAAAGTATTACTACAAAAGACTACTGGCTTAGGTCACCTAGGAGCTAAAGCTACCTTGACCCTAAGTGCTTTAATGGCAATCACAGTAAACGAGATGAAAAGTCTGATATTTTTAGCATTGGGATTATTTTGTGGGAAATATCCAGCAGTGGTCATAGTATAATTATACTATGACCACTTAGTCTAGATTATGACATCTCAGTTAGACTATGGTACTAGATTATGACCTCTCGGTTAAGTTATACCCGCTCCCGCCCATGAGTTTGCATTTGCATCGTCACTTGCCTTTGTACCCATCGAGGATATCAGCTGAGGTGTTAGTTGGAAAGGTCAGCCGCTACGTGTGATGATGAGTTCGCGTTTGCGTCATCGTTCGAGTGACGATGCGTTTGTGATTGCGTCGTCATTGCAGGAGTTGGCTTGCGGAGTTAACCTACAGCGCGTTAACCCGAGTTTGTGATCGCATAGTTATTTGTCCGTGTAACCATCGAGAATGTCAGCTGAGGGTGTTGATTGGAAAAATCGGCCGCTACGGAGTGACGATGCGTTTGTGATTGCGTCGTCATTGCAGGGGTTGGTTAGCCTACAGCGTTAACCCGTGGAAATAAAAAAAAATCCAAGTGACGACGAGTTTGTGATCGCATCGTCATTTGCCTGTGTCCCATAGAGGAAGTCAGCTGAGGTGTTAGTTGGAAAAGTCTACCGCTACGAAATGATTATGAGTTTGCATTGTTATTTGCCTGTGTAACCATCGAGGATGTTAGCTGAAGTGTTAGCTGGCCGTGGTTGCTACGATAATAAGTTTGCATTTGCATCATCATGCAGAAGTTGGCTTGCGGACTTGGCCGGGCTATTATAATAAATATATCTGTTTCCCGTTTTATGTTATGAAATGGAAAATATTTAATCAAGATAGTATATTAGTATAAAAAAATAAATATAAAAATTCTTAATGTGGATGGGACAGCAAGCTGCACGTTTTTAGCGGTTTTAGCTGGATTTGTTCACTTTTTGGACATGAAATTAAAAAATTTTTTTGGGACAGCAAGCTGCATGTTTTAACTGAATTTAACCACTTTTTAAATATCAATGCACGGAGTTACTCTCTCTGAGAGATAAAAATTACGTGACAGGACAGCAGGCCACACGTACAGGCTCGAAGGTGAGTCTAAAGACTCATAATTACTTTTGAATTAAAAAACATTTGTATAGTTATAATCTGATAACCGTCCTTAAACACAAAGTCAAAAATGCTACAATTATACATATTCAATAGATACTGAATAAACTTTATTTAATTCTTTTTTGTATGGTGTAGTAGGAAAACCAAGACGGGCTTCATATTTCCGCTTATATTTTATGAAATCAACTTCGTTCATACTCTCGCGCTCTTTTTTCCAATAATTTATATTATCCCGAAATTCAAAGGCTATCTCGTCTTTCCATTTTTTTAATTTTTCTCGCGACATTTGGCTTTTTTTGCGCGGTACCGCTGTAAAAGAAACGCCAATAATTGTATTCGAATTGAAAAAGTATTCTGCATAGTATATAATCGATCCAATGGGTATAACCTAGGATCGATAATTATTACAATGTCCGCTATTGCAACAAGAATCGTTGGAAAATATAATCTTAACCCAGGAATGAGTGTATCTGAGCTCAGTAAGTATACTTCTGAATTGCTCAAAGACCTTACAGACGATATAGAAAGCGGAATCAAGCACGAAGACGCCTTCGAGATGGTTTCAAATTCAGTGAGGACCAGGTAAGCATATTAATTCCTACTCAGAGAAAAAGCCAGCGAAAAGATATCAATCTCGTAATTCTAGACAAGGCCTTAGTAAAATCAGAAGAAACTATCAAAGAGATAGCACATCGGATTTTACGAGATAAACTTGGTGAAAAGGATGTAAAGGCTGAAGCAATAAAATTAGCTAAGTCGGCTTTGAATGAAGTTGCTGGGTCCTCTAGGCTTTCCCGGCTTTGGAAAGAATTACGAAATCTTAATGCTCCTTGTTATTATAATATAGTTGAAGCGACAAAAATCTTTGAAATTACAGATAAGTCTAACAAAATTCAGACAAGCCGGCGAAAATTAGCCGAGGATTTTGAGAAAATCGACTATCCAGATCATTTACATTAGAATCGGTTAAAGAAAGGTTGGATAAGTATAACATTAAGACACTGCCTGATTCACAAGCCCTTGCTGATGTTATGATAATGCTTTGTATGCGTCCCGCTGAAGTTACTACTTTACGCATTACAAATGCCGGTGTAACGGGTTATGCGAAGAACAGGGGTCAACCAGATATTCATAGAAAATTTAAATCTATGGAAAAAAATCAAGAACGAGCCAAAGAATTACTAACCTGGATACAGAACGCTATAACTTCTGGCCAAATGGGTAACCCAGGTAAGCCCGGGGCCAAATGGTTTAATAGATTCTTAAAAGGTTATAATTTAATTCCTCGCCATTTACGTAAAATAGGGGCTGTATATGCTGTGGTGGTACATGGGGTAAAGAATTTAGCTCATGCTATGACAATCGCTGGAGAAGCTTTACGTCACAATCCTGATAACCATACTTCTCCTGTGCAAAATTATGTCGTAGTAAACTACAGAAAGCGCGGGCAAAAACCCGAAGAAGCGAGACCATTCCGCCTTTATGATGATGGTAATTAATTACGCTTCTTTGTTTACTGTACGGCCACCACATTCACAGTTAATCTTTATCATCGTTGCCGGAGGTAGTCACTTCGTAGTTAGACGATTCAGAGTCGGACCCAGATGAAGGACGAGGATGAGGACTCAGATACGGTATAAGTTAAATTTTTCTTTTTTTCTCTTAGCCTTGCTTAGAAGATTAAGATCAGGTGCTACACGCTTATCCCCGAAGCAATTAGTGATATAATTACTGCTAAGGGTTCAGCAAATGCATTATGCAATCTAACTAAAAAATATAATGTATCATATGCACGAATTCGTGAAATACGGGAATTTGCTATTTGCGAGATAAATAATTAATATTTATTGTATTACGAAATATGCAATAACTTACAATGCAACATGGTATACAGATTTTCCAGATATTCTCAATTACACTTAACCTCGCAACTAGTTCCATTGAGCAACGTAAGAGTTTTATTTGGGAAGTCCAGTTTCATTGCATTTTCCTGGAACCATGGCTGACCACGAGACTGCGGTCTGCAATCATTTTCTGCAGTCTGAGACTGGATCGACAAGACCGTGAGACTGCGGTCTGGGATCATTTTTGCTGCAGTCTGAGACTGGATCGACAAGACCGTCTGCGACCATTTTGCTGCAGTCTGAGACCGGATCAACAAGACCGATCTGGTCCAGCCTCAACAAAAAGACCGCAATCTTTGAGACTAGACCAGACTGTTGAGACGGTCCCCAACCCTGGACTCGTATGGTACAATGTTACACAAAATAGTAATCAAGAGCAAAATAATAATAATAATAATAACGCGATCCGCTCGCTAAGCGAAGATTTTGCTAATAAAATCAATGAACTCTAGATCGCGACTCTCTCACATAAAACCCTATTCACTAACCATCTCAAACGTTTAAACATGGGCGACGCTATGAAAATAGACCCGATGGATCTAGGCGACTTCTTTGTTAAATATGGGCAAGACTGTCCCAACACAACTATTGAGAAGGCAACAGCAGCATACCATGAATATAAAAAGTTCTTTTATGAATACCACCAAAAAAACCCTGAAACAACCGCAGATTGCTACGCACAATTTCTCGAGACACAAGGTAAGCAACAAACGTTTATTGGGAGGAGAAGAGTTTGATTACTGTTACTGGTTTTGTGCAGTTGGGCGGGGCGTTATTAGTTGGCCGTATGGCGGGTAGAGCTGCGTCGTAGAGACATTACGGGGTTCGTAGCAGTAATGGAGAGAGTTGTTGGAATGCATTACGACATGCGTTGGGAGGAATGTAGAATAGAGCTTAGTAAATGGCGGTGCTAGGTTATATGGAGGGAATAGTTCGAATGCATTACGACATGCAGTTGGGGTTGGGTCGTAGAGCAGAGTCGTAGCAACGGTTAGGTTATACATAAACCCGTTTGAAAGCAAGAGGAGAGTTTGAATACTGTTAGGGCTTCACCGTTAACTAACTCACGTGCTTTTGTGCTTCTTCTTGCATACACTCATATGCCCTTGTATTTCGTTCGCCAGCAGACACTCAACCAGGTAACTACTTCGTGACTTGGCGTTGGGCGCAGAGCAGAATGTAGCAAAAACGTATCGTTTTGTATCGTTGACTAATCTGTGCTTGTTTTCTGTTTTCCTGTTTCCAACTTATTGCGCATGGAAAGAGCGGCGGCGCTCAGGAGGGTTGGGAGGCACAATTCTCTTCGGCGACGAACTTGGCGATGGATATGAGGGGGTTGACCTCAAACGCGAAACGGTATGTCAAAGGGAACCAACCACGAGCAGGCTACTCCAATGTCTGCTTGATAAGCGTGTTATTGTCGTTCGCTCGCCGCCGATGGCTGGCAAAACAACCCTCGCACAACTATTTGAACAGCACCTACTTCAATCAGACGAAGTGAAGAGAGGGTCACGTCGCGTTTTTCGCATCTCGTTACTCTGGATGGAACGGCAGGGATCACCGTGGACGTTCGCTGAACGATTCCAATGGCTCATGGATGGTACCAAGTGGGCCGATTTCCTTGATGAATCGAATAACTTGGAGACAGTTCTGATAGTCGACGAAGTTCAAAAAATTTACAAGCCGGAAGGTGAAAGCGAGCCTCTCCATGGCGGCAGTGTGTTTTGGAATACGTTTAAGAACATTCGGCAATACAGCAAGCTTCGCATCGTTGCGTTCGCTTCCTATGGATATCTCGGTGCATATTCAAACAGTGGAGAAAGCGGAAAGCCCATGGAAATTTCGCCTTACCACCTTGATAAGAGCAACATATGGGATTTTAAAGACGTACGTTTTACCGTAGAAGAGTTCAATGACTACTTTGAACGGTTCTGCAGAAA